CCTTTTAAAATTTTTCCCCAAAAAGGGGGGTTTTTTTTCCCCCAAAATTTTTATTTTTTTTTTTTTAAAAATTTTTTTTTTTAAAAAAAATTTTTTTTTTCCCTTTTAAAAAAAAATTTTTAAAAAATGTTTAAACCCCAAAAAAAACTTTCCCCCCTTTTTTTTAAAAATTTAAAAAAAAATTTTTCCCGGGGGAAAAAAAAAGGTTCCCTCCTTTTTTTTGGAAATTTTAAAAAAACCCCCCCCAAAAAAAAATTTTTCCCCGGGAAAAATTTTTTTTTTTCCAAAATTCCCCCGGGAAAAACCCCTTTTTGGAAAAAAAAAAAAAAATTTTTTTGGGGCCCAAAAAAACCCCAAAAGGGTTTTTTAAAAAAAAATTTTTGGTTTTTAAAAATTTTATTCCCCGTCTCCAGAATATAAATCTTGCGTTCAATTTTGAACTCATTCACTGCAGGTATTTCAGGTTTTAACCATTTTTGGGTGGTTTTTTTTTTGCTTTGCTTCCTACAAGAAGCATTAACAACAGTTTTTTTTTATCATTTAGAGCAGGTGTCTTCAACGTTTTCCAGGCTAAGGACCCCCAAACTGATGGTGAGATGAAGCAAGGACCCCCTAATTATATATTTTGTTTGAAATTGTGTTCTATCAAACTGGTCCTATAGTCACTATTACAGATGGAGTAATGTAACCAAAGTAATTTCGCCCTGGATAATTAAAGTATTTCTGATTCGTATTCCTCGTTGATGGGACAGGTGTGAATGAAATGATGATGAATTCATGTTGAATTCATGTTCATGTGTATTTAAAGACATTTTAATTAGTGGAAAAATTGCATGGGGGAATATATATCTATATAAAAAAAAAGTAAAAAAAAAAAAAAAAAACAACAAAATTTTGTCGACCCCCATGCAGTACCTCCGTGGACCCCCTAGGGGTCGTGGACCCCCTGTTGAAGACCTTTGATTCAGAGTCCAACGTCCAAATAAAATAACACTGAGATACAAGTTTTCACATTTACAGGGGATCTTTTTCATGAATTTGTTATTTAAATGATAAATTATTTGCTCTCAGAATAGTTTAAAGTCGTAGGGAAGCGGCTCTTCAGATGACCGTTGATGTATGATTGGCCGAATTTAGTAGTTCAGGCTGACGTATAACTAACTGACCTGCATAAGATAGTGAAAAAAAAAACAGATTTTAAGACAGGATTTATTTTAAATAGAAATTTTCTAAACTTTGGGACACTATGGTCTGATAAAGAGTACATTTATATACATGTTTAAGCCAGAATGATTTGACATCTAAATATGACTTCCCCACGACTTTAAGCACTGGACAGCTCCAGAAAATATGGTGAGGATTTGCCTCATTTGTTCCACAGAGCATAACAGCTGACTTTGTTGCTCAGATACTTTTTCTGAGCTGGATTCTCAAAGTACCTAAAAGTATCTTCCAGCTAAACTCCCTCCACATGGTGGAGCTTGAGGTCATCCAGTGTTGTTTATTGATCTGATCCCAGCCTTCATATGAGACGGTTAAATATCCTTTTATCCATCTGCTTATGTAGTCTGTCACCTTGTTTGGAGGCTTAAACAACTAGAGATGGTGAAGTGATTTTATTTTAACATAAACTAACTAGTTTGAAAAACAAAGCCCTACTAATCAAGAGCTGGAAAATTAGAAATCTCCTGTCCAGGGGTGATGCTGAGAAACTAGTCCATGCATTTGTTACTTCAAGGCTGGACTATTGTAATTCTTTACTATCAGGAAGTCCACAAACTGTAGTTAAAAGTCTTCAGCTGATCCAAAATGCTGCAGCCAGAGTTCTGATGAAAATTAAAAAGAGAGATCACATCTCTCATATCCTGGCTTCTCTTCATTGGCTTCCTGTTAAATCAAGAATAGAATTTAAAATCCTCCTTCTCACATATAAAGCCTTAAATGGCCAAGCTCCATCTTATATCAGAGATCTGATTGTTCCTTATGTTCCTAACAGAGCACTTCGCTCTCAATCTGCAGGTTTACTAGTGGTTCCTAGAATTTCTAAAAGTAGAATGGGAGGCAGATCTTTTAGTTATCAGGCTCCTCTCCTGTGGAACCAACTACCAGTTTTAGTCCGTGAGGCAGACACCCTGTCTACTTTTAAGGCTAGGCTTAAAACTTTCCTTTTTGATAAAGCTTATAGTTAGAGTGGCTCAGGTTATCCTGAGCTATCTCTATAGTTATGCTGCTATAGGCTTAGACTGCTGGAGGACATAGGGACCCCCATTTCATCATCTGCTTCATTCTCTCTCTGTTCTCCTATTCTGCAGAATCTGTTAGTTCAATCTCTAACCTTCTGCTCTATCTGCTTTTCCTCAGAGTAGCTTTGCCTCGTCTGTTCCTGTTTGGCTGTGACGTCATCCTGGAAAGAAACATCAGCTGTGCTGTGACTGGGTGGATGTGCTCTCTTCGTCCTCTGGCATGGGAGCTGGCTCGGAGCTCGTCTGCCTGGCTGTGTGTTTCCTGGACGGGGCTGCCTTTTACAGCTGCTTTTGTGTCTCTGCTTCCGTCTCCTTGAACCCAGTCGGCCTCGGCAGATGGCCGCTCACACTGAGCCTGGTTCTGCTGGAGGTTTCTTCCTGTTAAAAGGGAGTTTTTCCTCTCCACTGTCGCTACAAGCATGCTTAGTGTGAGGGATTGTATTTGAGTCAATGAGTCGATGCAATCAACTGGTTTTCCTTAGATAGAAAACTTTGTATCAATTTGACTGTATGATCTGGTTGAACTGTGAAGTGCCTTGAGATGACATGTGTTGTGAATTTGGCGCTATATAAATAAACTGAATTGAATTGAATTGGAATACTTTTTTTTCTTTTTAAGTTGGACTTTTTTTTTTTCTCTCATGACATATTTTCCTCTTTTATATCCAAAGTGTGTATTCAGTTTCACCATATACCAACCGGTTATTTTAGTGTTGTTTAATTTTGATATGCAGGATCTAAAATATTTAACTTTACGACTTAATATGTGATAAATCTCTTGTTTTGCCTTTTTTTCTTAGAGGTTCGAAGTGGGAGAAGCCGTACCCAAACAACAGCTGCAGATTTAACTGCACAGAAAGGTGTATTTAAAATGATTTGACTCACTTCTTAAATTTGTAGTTGTAAAAATGATTAAACATGGATGGTATTGAGAAGTGAAAGAGGAATGTTTTCTTTCTCAAACTGAGTTTTATAACGTGTGGTGCGTGTTTGTATTTCACATCAGTGTCTACGCTTTGGCAGGAAGTCTTTTGGTTTTTTTTAAGCAACTTTGCACGTCCAGACACTGAAGCTCCCCCACCCATTCTTCTTTGCAGAATAAGTTCATTTAATTAACTCTAAGACCATCCCTCTATCAAACCATCCATCTTTTTAGTCTCTGGCTGCCTCCCTGTCACTGCTTTGAAAGAACGCTACCTCCACATCATGATGCTTCCACCCCCATAGTATGGTGCGGTAATGACATTTTTGAGGTGACAGACAAAGCACTTTTTCCAACCCACAGTGGCAGTAGGCCAAAACGTTCTGACCTACAGCTAAAGGTCCCAATGTTGACAGATCCTTCCACTTAAAGCTGTGTTTAGTTCACATCCCAATGGACACTATTCACCAATGGGACATCTCCAAGGATATTTTATTACTATTAGAGGTACTAGAGTAAAGTAGACTACATACTAATGCACATCAGTTTTTATTCATTTACTTGGAAAAATAAATGTAAATCCATGCCTTATTTTCTTCCACTTTGCAATTTTAGAACAAATCTTATTGACCTTAACAAAAGCCGGCAATGTCTTTGGTTGTAAAAGGAGAAAATCTACACTGCAAAAAAGTAAATCTAAATAAGTCAATTTTTTCTTTAAATAGGTGCATTTTTTTCTTGAATTGAGGAGGTAAGTGAGATAATTTGCCAATGGAACACGACAATTTACATTTAAAATAAGAAAAACAACTGCCTACTATCTAAATATTTTGTTATATTAATAAAAATCATTGCATTGGCAGATCATCTTATTTTGCTAAAATTGTACTTATTTCTAGACCTTTTTTGCAGTGTAGCAACCCAGTCTCATGGGAAAATGTACCCCCACTACGTTGGTCCACACTGCAAAACGTAGTGGAGGTACATTAATGGCCATTTTTTTGTGGTACTGTTACGTTTCTTCTGCCTATATGCTTTCTATTGTTTTACGTCCTAGTCACGTGACTTTCAAGATTCCAGCTGGGAGAAGAAAAAAAATATATATATATGGCCGACATTCGCTCATTTTTTTGTGGAAAGATTAATGACTTGAGCTTGTTTTTGCATTAAAATGAGTTTTGATTACATTTCTAGTGAGAAATGTATAGTTTGTTGCCAGAATATTTACTCAGGGAATGTACATATTCACTTGCTTGTTTGTTTCTTGCAAAGATTTTTCAAGATAATGTGAAACTGAAACGTTTTGGTATAAACATGGCTGAGATTTCTCTAACTTTTAGTGGGAAAATCAATAATTTCAATCAGTTTCTACATTTAAATGGGTTTTGATTACATTTATAGCGAGAAGTGTAGAGTTAATTTACATAATATTTACTTAGTGAACATGCATAATCACCCGCTTGCTAGTTTTTGCTACGGGTTTTCGGATCTCGTCAGGATTATGTGAAATTGCAACGTTTTGGCTGCTACCCATCGCCTAGCTAAAACGTCTTTAGAAATAAATATCAGAATCAATCAGCTGGTTGCACCTCAGGGCAACATGGAATGGATATCGGCCAAGAAAATGATTGATTTCATTGACTGATACCATTGACTATAAAAACCCCGATTGCTTTGCAGAAATAATTGATAGGATTTCATACATCATTGAGTATTTGACAGCAGAAATAATAATATCCTTTGATCATGACTGATCTTTCTAATCAAATATTTTTCCTCATCACAGCAGCTCAGAGTCGTGTCTGCAGGGCAGATGAGACTGACATTAAACCCACCTTTAGTGTGCAACAGAATTCTCTGAATCAGTACAGGGTACTTTGTAATCCTCTGGGTCACCAGCAGGATGCAATCTGGGATATCAAGCCTCCGCACAGTGCTGCTACTTCTCATTTTCTGGGAGAAAACAAAGAACGAGAAGCACCTTTAAAGGAGAATGCCCACATAACAAATGGCAAAGCTCACAGAGGAAGGCTTTAAGTTGTCAGACAAACTCGAATTAAACACATCATCAGCCTAAAGATGTGATAAGACACCAATCAGGAAAAGGAACATGTGTTACATAACAGATACGTGCTAACAGTGAGGCAGAAGGCTGATCCTTACCTTGATAAAGTTTTTAAAGTTTTTGTTTTTGTTCATGAGGTCCTTGTAGACGTTGATGGCTTCGTTGTGACGGCTGCAGAATTTCCCATAAACTTTTTTCATACAGTCCCCATTGGATTCCGAGAACTGAGGGTCAAATACAACAAAAATAAATACGCAAAACATATACTGACAGCATAGATAATTTAAAAAGGGAGTCCCTGCCTGAAACCTTTAATTCTATTCAGTGGACCATCAGGTCTTCCACATGACTGAAATGTTTAGCTACACTGTAAACCCAAACAGTACTACTAACTTAAAGTTATAAAGGGTAGATAACTCAAAATCAAGTTTTCCGTAAAAATAACTATTAATTAATGAGTTTTCTGACTGAATAATGTTCTTTTAATTTGAGTTAGATTAATACTTTTGAGTTGATGGCTGTCATTAAATGAAATATTTTAAGTAAATGCAGAATGCTGCGTGCTTACGTCATGTTGGGCACGTTTTTAAAAAAAAACAAAAAAAAAACGGGTGCCTTCTCGAGGCTGGACTTGGCAGAGACAGACGAGTAAAGGTGACAAACAGTATTAAAACTGTGCGTCAGTTTTACGTATAACCATTGCACAGAAAAGAATAGTTTATATTTTGTTTTTTGACCACAGCGGTTAAAGTGAGTTTGGGGCACTCGGCGCCTTCGCAAGCTAGCAACGTTAGCTCTGTGTTACTGTACACCTGCTACAGACCACTAGCATCCACTCGTCAGCTGCATCGTTCTGAGTCTGGGGCTTCTCCTAATGCTCGGAGATCTTCTGTGGTGAGTAGACTGTAAATGTTTCTTAATTGTTGATTGTCTGTTGAAAGATTCAGCTATGTTATTAAGAGAAAGAATATTATTGTACAAGTTAACTTGTCACGTACGGAGGTCTGCCCATATATGTATATTTTTATAGTTCACAAAATAAAAATAATTTGAACTCAATTTAAATCCTTTTAACTAAAATTAAGAAATCATTTCAGTCAACTGAAACTAAATAAAAACTAAGCTTTATGAATTAAACAAAAACTCACTTAAACTTTGTTGAATATTTAAAAATCTAACCAAATAAAATGGAGATAAACCAGTTTGAATGATGGCCAAAAAATATAAATATGTACATTGAATTTAGTTTATAAGAGGTTATTATGTGTAAATTAAACATGAAACTTTTTCACAGAGAGCTGCTGTAGGCCATATCCTCATTCCCACAGACGTGATGAAAGCATTTCATCTGGTAAGTCAATTTTTCTTACTTTTGTTTTTTTACTTAAAAAGTAAACATGGATCACAATGTTTAACAAATTGAAATAATTAAATAAATTTTCTATTTCTCTTATCAGCTCATTTCATCCAGGGTGGAAACCAATTATTGAGCAACACCCCCAATATCTAAGGTATCTTTATATATTTATGTATTTCTTAAAGCTGCATTATTAATTACGTTAAAAATAGCAAATGTAAGTCTATTTATACTGAACAGAATTAACATGTTTGGCCTTATTAACGTCTTGAGTATTTTACATCATTAGTCAGTATTTAATTAACTGTTCCTTTTGTAAAACAGGTCTTTCATTCTCTACTATTTTTACTGAAGTTGATATTTAATAGATGTGAAATAATTGAGTCCAGCTGTAAACTTTAAATGGGTTGTAAAAAGGTAATATTAATAGTGGGGATTCTCCAAACTATTACAGAGGATTTGCTTGGGTTTGAGTTATAATAGTTATTACTTTTATTTCATTTGTAACCTCTAGATCAGCACCTACTTTATTATGCTTACCTAAACACTTACTCATTAAAGAAATATTTTATTTAATTGCAGGCCGAACATGGACTGGAGATGCAAACTATGTTCTACGTCCCTGGATACCTCGGCAAAGTTATTTACACGTTATCGTTTGCAACACAGTCAGTATTCAAGAGTCAGCCCACTGCCGTGCCTCTACAGCAATTGCATTTTTCAGTCATTTAATACAGTTAAAACCCATCTTTCACATTGTCATACTGGCACAGGCAGACTTGATGCAACTGATGGAGCACAAGGACCACATTTATGTTTCACCTGTCCCTTGTGTGACTTTAAGAAGCCTTTTTCTAAGTCAAGATTATTTGGACACTTGAGATGTCATTTAAGAAATCACGAGATGGTTATATGCCCTTTCAAAAACCTCACCATTGATGCACTGTTTGTGACTAATTTTAGTTGAATTATTGGTTGTGTTAGCTTTGATTCTGTCGCAATGTCTTTTTATTCAAAGCTTTTATAATTTGTTGTTTAATTTGTGTGTTTCTTTTTTTTTTAGTAACAAGACGGATAAGCTTTCTTTGAAAATTACCATGGTCTTTCTGTTAAATAACGTTTCAGTGACCTGCATCACTGTTAAGCCTTTTTTTTCTGGCTAAACTGGTTTATCGAAACTATTCCCAATGTTTTATTAAAGGTTTTTTTAAAACTTAAATAAAAAAATGTGAACTAAAAAAGAGATTTGATGTCTGTTTCTGTTTTTAGACATTAGGAAATAAAATTAAACGTATATTGTGAGCAAAAGTACTATAATATTTTATATATATATATATTTGAGTAAAGTGAAGGTATATTTTTTAAGTTTAGTCAAACTCATAAAAGTTATTTCTATTACACAAAAACTAAAGTAATGTAAAGAAAGCTTTTGAGTAAACTGACGTTATATTTTTTAAGTTCAGTCAAACTCATAATATTTATTTCCTCTACTTAAAAACATTCACGTAATCGGTTACGACAAAGATTTTGAGTATTTTCAACTTATTCGGGTTTACAGTGTAACTCAAACACGCCTGACCTGGCTGACCAGAATGTCTCCTATCCTGTTGATGATGAAGTTTCCCTCCGACCCTCCCGCTTCCAGCTGGCTCTCCTTTTCTCGGGCAAAGAGTCGTTGGAGGAGCTGGTCGTGCAGGTCTAGGAGATCATCCAATACTGGAAAAATCCTTTCCACTGTGTGCTGATCCAGAGGAACCTCCTTCTGCAGGCCTTTGCTGTATATTTCAGACATGATGCACAACGTTTGCATGTAATGCAACTCAGTCTGCATCTCAAGGCCTCTGCAAAAAGTAAAACAACTGTTCTTATTCGAACTAGATACACAAAAGGCAGTTTATCCCATGTGAGATGTTCCAAAATGCATGACTCTGATCCAAGCTCTGCGATAACAGCTTCCCCTCGCGTGGACATCGTAATAAGATAACTTAATGATCAGAGGAATTTCCTAGATTTGGTTAATTAACCACTGCTAGATGAGATAAAGATAAAAAGCTACTAGCATAGGCAAAGATTTTAATAGTTCAGAATCTTTAACATTAAGTCAACAGACACAGTCATTACACTGCAAAAACATTGCTGGAGCGAGTTCACCCCCTTTAGTTAAGCCCCGACCACACGAAGTGCAAAACGAACACGAAACCTGATATTTTTCAAAAACTTTTGCGGAAAGACGGAGACGTAAAATAAATGTGAGCGCCCACAGACTAATGCATGAAAACGCCTGACTGGCAAAAATTTATGGCGCAGGCCTGTAAGGTGGCGCTGTGTTGCCAAAGCAAAAATAAGGCGACGAAATGTTGGTCATGCGCACTAATATTTATACATGTTTGCGCCTGCGGAGGTCCATTTTTCGTGTTCATATGACAAAATCAGGTGCTCGACGCGCGATGTCGAGCGACGTGATTGCATGTCTTAGCTTCCTGAGATATTTCCAGAAGAAGAAGATTCTGTTGTAAGCCCGAAAGCAGGATGAAGTAGCATTAAGCCTCAACGGGCCCTGCGTGCATTGTTTTGGGATACTGGTACTGCGCTTGCGTGTTTAGAAGCGACCTATGCAACGCATGCGTGTAAAAAAAAATATGTCGGTTAGAGCGTGTCTAAGGAATGGAAACGCGAAAACGGCGTCTTCGAAATCTTCCCACTCTGAAGGCTGAATAAAAAAAGATCGTGTTACAGACCCGCGGCAACTGCGCGGCTTTCGCGAGTGTGATGAGTAATGCTCGTTTCGTACGACAATTGGTGCGTTAGTGGGCACGGTCGCTTCGTACTAGAGGAAGGGGACTTGTAGGAAAATAGTTGCGTCGTTGCCTAATGTCGTAGGATGACAGCATTGTATTTCCTAGAATAAGATAATTAGTAGTATTATCTCTCGTTTATTAGGGTGCCTATTAAATAGAGACTGTCTACTATCGAGTCTGTTTTTCTTATTTAAATGTAAAGTGGTCATTATTCCACTGGTAAAGTGTCTCCACTTACTTGCGTCAATTGTAAAGAACAACATACTCCACTATATTTCGCAGATAACTAGATTAGACATTTTTCAGAGTGAGCGTACGTAAAATTTATTCAGGAATTTAGACATGATAGAAAGTATACTCAGTTGACCGAACAATAAGATTCATAGATTTGTTCTGGATGTTATATTCAGGTCAGCTTCACATTCTACTACACTTTCAAAGTAACAATCACTTGTTGGCTGTTGATGAGTGACGTTAAGTGACTAAGCGAAACTGCTGTGAGGGACTTTATTCTCTTATAAACAAAACATTTCATATTAATCGATTGTGAGGTGGTGGTCTAATGCGTAGCAATGTTAAAGGTCTGACTGCGTGCTCCGATGTGTCCAGGAGAGGTTGGTAGCTAATGTAGCCGTTGATGACATCCGTTGTCTCTGACAGCTCGCTTGTTTCGCTGCTTGGCAGGTACTACATGCAGCTCCACACACAGACCCAAGAGATCTGCTCAAACTCTTTGGCATTCCTCTGCGAACTCCCCCAGCAGCTGCTGCGGCGTCCATCATCTCTGTTCGAAACTAGGAGAACAGCTTACAGTGCGACAAGCATTTTCTCGCTACATACTACTGACTGAAACACAGCATGACAGAATGCCTGGGTGAACGTATATCAGCCCAGAGTGAGCAAGTTAGTAATGAGAAGAAAAACGAACAAATTTTTTCACATTGTACTATGACAGAGATAATTTCAGCGTTGTTTGATTTCTTGTCGCCAGCCTTTCTAACCTCTTTGCCTGCTTTTCTATATTATTTGGGCGACGAAAAGCTATTTGCACCGCTATGCTTGCTATGGGAAGACCGCGTTATTACATATCAGTCATAACATTTTGGCACTTGCTTTAGTGTAACCTTTGCAATCTGGTACCCTTAGCATCTCCCTTATCTTTACACATCTGGGACTGTGATTGGGTATAATGGGTCTTCACTGTCCTCTTACTCTTTCTTTCCTTTCCATCCGCCCCAGCAATGAGATGTCGAACGGGACATCTCCTCCTTAGCACACGCGTCACACCAAACGCGCAGAGGGCACACAAAAAGCAGCGTCTGCCTCGCTTCGATTTTCTGATAGCTTGTACAAGCCCAAATTGAGAAGCATCTTATATTGCTGCTCTGGCTAGCAATACTGATGAAACACTCGGCTCTGACGTGAGTGAGCAGCAGTGAGCCGAGCTGAATCTATCCATTTCTTGCCCTGCAAGCAGTATGTTGCTGTCGATCAGCTGAGGGGAATACATCGTAGTTTAGATGATCAGGAATAGTACACCCAAACATGATTAGCGAACTTGCAATTTTCTAGACTCACTCCCCTGCTGAAACAACCAATGCTCTGGAGTACCTTTTTAGATATCTCGCGCGATTGCATCCTGAGATGCATCGGAGCTCCTTGCGTCCCTGCGACGATTTCAATAATTAGGTCCATACGCCCGAGGCTAGCAAAACAGGGTCTAGAAAAGTCTCACAAAAACGAGGTATTACAATAACGTTCCGACCATACTGCTACGACCAATGTATTCACAAGTGTCCCTAGTGGTAAGGCGTCCATAATTTACGCTGAAAACGAAGTCATTTAGTATGCTTCTTTTAGAGCATATAACCAGAGTGTATAGGAATATCCTAAACAAGCGCGTTATCGACGAGTCTACGAAACCGTGCGCAGAGAGCGAACGACCAAACAGATGAAAGTGCCCTATCTACAGCACGTCTAAGAACACATTTGAGCTCTTCCTCATCACATGAAGTCCTCTTCGTGTGTTTCTTTCTTTGCACAGGTAACACAGACACATTTCTCTTCTAAGCGCTTGCATTAGTGCAGCGCAGAGGATAAGGGACGCTCGAATGCGCACTTTTCTGACTCTTCGTTATGGACCTTTCTGCCTCGGTGCGCCATAGAGCTCTTTTTGAATGTCAGTCAATAGACGAAAGAACAGCCTCCCAGATCTCAGAACTGCATTTAGCATATATCAAAAAAGGTTAAAAAAGGTACATCCAGATTGTGTTCAGTAATACATGCGTGTGGGTGAGAGAAAATGTAAGGCATAACTCATCGTTTTGGTTGTAGCTAATCCATTTAATATGTTTTTTAAGTGCGAAAATCCGAACTGAAAACTATAATCATTGGTGCTCAGTTTCATCCCAGATCATCCTATCCTCCTTCCAATATTAATTCTGTCGGTAGCCGCTAAGTAGCACCCACGATAATCCAAACTGCAGCACCACGATATAATATAACCTAACATGTTTGTGCGCGACACAGTAGTTCAGCATTTTTCGAGTTGATTATTTAAAGCGATAACATGAAACTTATCCGAGGGAGCGACTGTCATGAGCGGCTCCCTTTAACGATCAGCGATGGTCCTGTCTCCCTGCAGCTCCCAGATCAGGGAGAAGACTTCCTGAAGACAGTCAAACGTAAAGATATGCCTACAACGTGTCATCACTCCCACTTCAGAGGACAGACACAGAACAGGCTCTAGACCAAGTGAAAAAGAAGATCGGAGGCCGCGAAGTGGCGAGCGCGACTGAGCGATGAACATAAGTACATTAAGTCTTCTGAGTTGAGAAACAGACTCCTCACAGGTCCCCAACTGGCATCTTCATTAAATAGTACCCGCAGTAGCTTGTTTGTGCTGTCCTCTGAAGGGAGTAGTACACACCATTGTAGGAAATCTTCAATTTCTTAGCAATTTCTCACATGGAATAGCCTTCATTTCTAAGAACAAGAATAGACTGTCGAGTTTCAGATGAACATTCTCTTTTTCTGGCCATTTTGAGCATTTAATTGACCTCACAAATGTGATGCTCTAGAAACTCAATCTGCTCAAAGGAAGGTCAGTTTTGTAGCTTCTGTTACGAGCTAAACTGTTTTCAGATGTGTGAACATGATTGCACAAGGGTTTTCTAATCATCAATTAGTCTTCTAAGCTAATGAGCAAACACATTGTACCATTAGAACACTGTATAGCTACTGCTATACTTTCCAGCCATCGTCTGGAAAGTATAGCAGTTAAAGTTGCTACTTGAGAAAATAATTAACCATAGAGATAAAAATAGCCCTGTGAATCAAATTATAAATTGTATTTGGAATAAAAATGAGAGAACTAGGGGTGCTAAAAAACACATCCTTCAAAGACAGATATTTACATGGGAATGTGGCATATCATTAATTGACATATTACTGATCTTGCTGGTTTTTATTCTACTTTACTTCTATAAATTGCAGGATCTTCTTTACTTTATCTTTGCCAGAATATTTAAACTTTAAAAGCCTTGCCCTCATAATTTGCAAGTTAATTTATTTATAAAGAAAATATAAATGCTGCTTAAGCTAATTCAAATGAAATTAAAAGTAAAATAAGTAGCCAACCTTATCACTGTCTGTAACCTACTAACACGGTAAGGAAAGCATCAGACGAGCTACCAGAGAAACTAACGTTACGTTTCCCCATTTTAAAATTTAACAAACATGGTTACTCATCCTACTGATCAGCTCTCTTCACTGTTTCCTTTTCAGGTGCTGCATCATAACAGTGGTGCTTCCGTGCCATTTCAATTTGTTTTTACAAAAGTTGCATGTTACGACTTGTCTCGCTTTACAAAGCGCAGGCTGTCTGCGAATTGAGACCCAGCTTGCGTTTGCGGTATCGGTCATTAGAACAGTTGACGTTATTGCCTTTTGAAAACAGTCTTTGCTCACCTGCGGCGCTGGCTCGCTCTGCCGATTTTTTTTTTTTCTTCCCCTGTTTCAATCAAGTG